CCCCCACTCCGCGGCGCAGGGAAATCCCTGCGCTCAACTCACTTCTCCCAGGGAAGCCGCCGGACTCCTCTTCTGACACCCCTTCCCCCAGCAAGTGACAGAGCTGTGGGAGGGAAGCAGCTGCAGACTTCCAGAGCCCCCGGAAGTGATGCGGACTTCACCCAGAACTTCCGTCCATCCACTACACTTCCGTCCAGCACTACACTAGAGGTAGGTAGTGGGGCTTCTCGGGGGTGGGAGGAAAATGGGGGGTGGGAGTGCCTGAACGCCCTGGCGATCGACTGGTCGAGGCCTCTCAATCGACCAGTCGATTGCGATCGACGGGTTGCTGACCACAGATCTAAGGCATCTTGCAGAGGGAATCCGGGTTTTCGTCTTGTCAACATGGGAGCATCGATCCAGATTGGCAGAAGCCTGGCTCCACCCCTCCCCCACCTAACTCCCCTGGCCAGTGCAGTTAGGGGGAGCAACTATTGGTAACAACAACAAGACAGGGAGGGGAGGGGGTGTGCGTGCACTATATCATATGCATATGATAAGTATTGACTCATTTATGTGTGTATTACCAATAAATGTGGCATTTTGCCTTTTCCCCCTGAAAAGATCCCATGCAATACTTTTAAGTACAACAGCAGAGTGGGTGCATAGGGTTTGGAAGGTGACTTGGGGGAGGAAATTGGGATGCAGGAGGGGTAGGGATGACAGAGGCAGGCTCTGGCTGGGAGGTGCTTACCTGTAGCACCCCCAAAGCAGGCTGGATTCCCTGTCTGTTGCAGCTCTAGAGCATTGAAAATGCAACCTGCTCCCTCCATGTGGCTCTCAACTCTGGGAGGGGGGGAAGAGGCTGGCACCACCCCATTCCCCAAGCCAATATCTCAGCTCCCATTGGCTGGCTGTTTCTGGCCAATAGGAGCTGACGATTGGGCTGGGGTCAGGGAGATGACTTGAAGCCTCCCCCTCCCTCTGGAGTAGAGAGTCACAAGGAGCAGCCCTGCATTTAAAACAGCAGCTGCTGTGTGCCTGAGTGTTACAGGAGGGGCATCTGCCTGCCATATCTAGCAGTTTGGCCTGCAAGAGGTATCTTGCCCAGCCCTGCCTTAGACTTAAAGCCATGTGACAATTCTGCTTTCCTTATTTTAGTTTCATAGATAGAATTAGATTTTTTTTACTCCCTACCCTAACTTCTATGGATCTGAAAAATGATTCCATACTGCTCGTTTTAGCAGGCATTTAAGGGTGTCTTTGTAAATTATGGAACTTTAATGAGCGTATGCAGTCTTGGTTTTTAGGCACAGATCCTGATTTCATCCATAGTTACAGGAATACCCTTACTCACATGTGTAGCTGCAATCAAAAGATAGGGACAACTTATGAATAAAGGCTGAGGGACTTGACCCTTCATCATCTTAAGAAATTTGTCAATATTTTGTAATAAATATTTTTAAACCAGCTATTCAGCCATTTGGAACACAACATCTGCAGCATGATGCTTAACTCAAATACAAGTTATGGAGCAGCATATGCATTTTAAAAATACCTAGCAGTTCAGTTGTACAACTAGTCCAGCAGCAGAACTCACAGCATCTGACTCCCTTATCCCAGTATCTCATTCTTTGTTCTCCGCTATAACAACAACATCTTAAAAGCTGGAAAATTAACACGTTTTCAAACCGGCTAATGTTTCTTACCCAATTTTCCAAACATTACTTTTTTTACTGTCTTTTTAATGGAGCAAAAGCCAGCATGACTCAGTTTTATTTACTTTGGACTAGACTGAGCCTATGGGTGTGGTCCTAAGTCTGGGGCAGCAAAGAAACTGCAACTCCTCAGAACAAGTTCAGAGCAGGGCTTGTAGCTAAAAGTCACTTTCTCCCCAGCTTCTCTCTTACTATGGCATGTATACCTTATTCAAGGGGCTTATATCTATTAATCCTCTGAACTCCACTAGGTGGTGTATTTGGTGGGACAGTGCACACAGTCCATTCCCACCTTCTTTCTGGCAGAGATAAGCACCTGGTGTGCAATTATTATTTATTCATGTATATCCAGAACTACAATCCAGACAGCTTACTCCCCTGCAGGGCTATGCAAGCTCACACTGCCCTGTTTATACACCAGAAATGAACACACAAGCACCAGCAATCCACTCTCTGCTCCTTTGTTCCTATATTATTGTAGCACAGGGAAGGGAGGAAGGGACCAGAGGGAAAAGGAAGGTAAGAAAATTAAGGGTAGATACTAAAAAAAAACAAAAAACAAAACAAAAAAAAAACCACACAACCACCCCAAAACCCTTTTTCCTCATCTCTTTTTTTTTTTCAAATTTGCCTATCACACATTAACAACAAACTGTATTTTCTCATATAACCTGTGCACCTCAAATGACAATAGAACAGGTCTGACTGTACACTCAAGCCTTTGTCTGCACTTTGCAGTGGATCTATGCTGAAGCAACTGATCCACCAGCTGTTGATTTACTGTGCCTGCTGTAGATGCTATTGATCAATGTCAGAGTGCTCCTGTTGATGCTAGTACTCTTATCAAGGAGAGAAGAGCAGCCAGCATCAACCTTACCACACGCAAGACTCCGTAGTGAGTATGTCGACTTCAGCTACTCTATTTGCATAGCTGAAGTAGACTGATGGTGCAGGTAAGTGTAGAAAAGGTATTACCCATGGATTCTCAACCATGGTTACATGTAACCATGGTTACTCGTAACCATGGGAGTATAGAGAGATCTTCCGGCACATCTAGATATTTGCCTAATTTTACATGAAGGCTACATAAAGACCACTAGCAAAATCAGTACAATTTAAAATTTCACACAATCACTTGTTTATACTGCTTTATATACACTGTGTGTGTGTGTGTGTGTGTGTACACACACACTAACTAAATGCAAGTACAATATTTTTCAATTGATTTATTTTGTAATTACGTGGTAAATTGAGAAAATATGTAATTTTTCAGTAATAGTGTGCTGCGACACTTGTATTTTTGTACTTGATTTTGTAAGAAAATAGTGTGAGGAGAAATTTGAGAGTTCACAAAACAAATCAGGCTCCTGAAAGGGTACAGTAATCTGGAAGGATTGAGAGCCAGTGCTCTAACACTTATGATAACTGTAATGAGCACTACATTAAAATTTGCTTTCATCAGTTTTGGTTTAAAAACCTGCTCTTATTGAAGTTAATTGGGAGTCTTGATCTCATTTGACCATGGTTAGACTTGTATTTTGCAAGTGTCAGCCACTATTTATTACTTTAATGTAACCTGACAAGTGTTTCAGACAGCTGAAAAACTGTAAGTTCAACAACTCTTATCAGAGGTGTCTGTCACCTAATAGGGAAGAAGCTTCAGGGGTTAGCCAAGTTAATCTGTACAGAAAAATACAACAAATGGTATAATAGCACTTTATAGATTAACAAAACATGTAGATGGTATGATGAGCTTTCGTGGGCACAGCCCACTTCTTCAGATGACCAGAGTTATGAGTTTAAGATGCGCAGACCCAAAATAAATAGGAGAGGGGGAAAAGGAGGAGGGTGGGAGACAGGGAGCTAGAGGGAATCAGTAAGAATCTGAAGATTGGGTAGTTAAAACAAAGCAGATAACTACCCAATCTTCAGATACTTACTGATTCCCTCTAGCTCCCTGTCCCCTACCCCTCTTCCTTTTTTTCCCCTCTCCCCTTCCCTTCTCCTATTTATTTTGGGTCTGCGCATCTTAAACTCATAACTCTGGTCATCTGAAGAAGTGGGCTGTGCCCACGAAAGCTCATCATACCATCTACATGTTTTGTTAGTCTATAAAGTGCTACCAGACCATTTGTTGGTTTTTTCTAATAAGAAAAGGTTGACATTATAAAACAGGTAGCTCTTCATTCTTTTCAGAAGTGGTTTTGTGATATTAAAGAATCTTACTGTGATTTTCCAAGTACATTTGCTATTTGGAGGGTAAACTCCAGGGAATCCTTCACTCCCAATAAACCCTGACTCTCCAGACAGACTTCCTCCACATGTAAAAGCAGGCCTGTGAATACCAAACAAAGAAAATGCTTAGTTTGGAAATACATTCCGTCAACACTTTCTATAATACTGAGGATGGAAAGATCGTTAATCTGTGTGGTGGGGATGTTAGCTAAAATGTTGATACAAAAAAGGAAGAGCAACTTTAAATAAATGTTTGAATAATGATAGCAGACTTTAACTTGCAGTATAACTTTTAATGCACAAACTGAAATGTGGCTAGAATTGACAGCTCAACCCTTAACCATTTTATATATAGTTCTGCATGCTGCTATCCTGTATTTGCAATTTGAGTAAAAACTTTTCCCTATTCATAATAAACAAAATAGGAAGGGCAAATACCATAACAAATATATATATATTTCTTAAAAAATAAACTTTTCCAGTAAATAAATCATTAGAAAATATAAGCTTGTGTTCCCCATCCTCACATTTTTCTGACTCTATTAGAATGACAATTTAGCATGCTTTAGAATTCTATGATATCTCAGATTTTTTTTGTCTATATTGGGAATACTAGGGCCCATAATGCAACTTTTGTCTGCACCACAACATCCATTTTAGAGCTGCACTGGTGAGAATTGTAGGTCCTAATTTTGCCTAATGGCATTGAGGGGTAATTAGGTCATGGTTCAGCAAAGTACATGCTTCAGGTAAGCACATCCTTTATACTCAACTACTTTGCCATGGTATAAAACTCTTTGAAATCACTGACAGGTGACATGTAGAAATGCAAAATCAGTATTAAAAGACAAGAATTTGGCAAGCAGCCAAGGTGGTGGATGTTGATTTTCTTTCCATGAATCCAGTGCTGAAATATATTCATCCAAGAAATTATATTACAGAATGTTTGTTTTTAATTCCACAATCCCGCAAAATTAAAAAAAAATCCTTTTTAAAGTATAACCAGAATCTTTTAAAAAAATTAAATTCAAGAAACAGATGCTTAGGCCTTTTTTTGTACAATACCAACAAATGCTCACATATGTTACGAGAAAAGGGTAAAAAATCTCTGCGCTCCTTATTTCTTTTTTATTACAAGCAAATAGAACAGAAGAGACCCAGGCTACTCATCACATTTCGTAATTTGCATAAATAATGCTAATCTTAATGCCCCACTCATCAGAAGGCATTTAACAGCAACGTGCTGAATTGATGGGGTCTCCTCAAAATGGGATTCTATAGACTGCAGAATATATAGATCAAGTAGAATCTAATTACAGTGGCTAAATTCAAGAGGCATTAATCC